TGGGATGACGTAGGGTTTTGTTCGGGGACCCTGACCCTAGCCTCTGACTCAAAAGTCTGACCCACGAGGCAGTGGGAGAATATAGGGTTTTCTTTGGGGACCCTGCCCGGAGCCGATGACTCAATAGTCTGACCTGCTCGGCTGCAGGGGGTTGGCCTAACCCGAGGGCGCAGGGAATAAGGCATTACTGTCTCATTCCTGATGCGGCTGCGCACAGCAGGTGCCTTTTGAGCAGCACCGGGCTCTTTGGTTTTAAAAGTATTTCGACCGTATCGGATAATGCGCCGGCGGTCACGGTCAACCGTTGGGCGATCGGAGTGTGCGGTTTTTGGGGCCGACCTTTTCTAACCCGTCCTTCCTCGGGGGAAGGCAGCATCGCTGCTTCCATAAATATGGACATGCTGGTCGCCTGGGGGAAACACCTTACTGCCTTCACACTCCTGTCGCAGAGGACAGTACGACTTTACCCCCAGACCGCCTCGTAGCACGATTACTCGTAGTACGGGGTCTCGCTGCTCTTGGTCTGGCTGCTCCCCTTTGGCCTTCCTGGCATGGTTGCACCTTGTGGAACGAAGTTTCAGCCAGTGTAGCCCGCAGGATCGTTGCAGCACTGAAGCCCGACCACCACGTCAAGGTGGCAGCTTTAGGTCGGGACGAACAGATGTAAGGGTTAGTGATACGTTCCGGCTTATAGAGTTAGAAAAAGAGCTTGCCTAGAGTACTAAGCCTGTATCTTGGGGTTAAAAGTTTAGCCTCAAAGGTGGTTTAGAGTGCATTGTCTTTTGGAATCCCTGGCTTAACGCGTTGTTAAATATTCCGTCTCATCATTTGCCCAACAGGCTTGGGTTAAAATTATTACTGATTATCCGATTATCGGTCTCGTCTACAGTGTCTAGGTAAGCCAGGGCGAGGTGTTCCAAGTGGTTAGAGCGCGAATTTACTGACCGGAAGGTCCGTGGTTCGAACCTGACCTCTGTATCTCGACTTCCCCCTGTCTAGACTTGGGCAACCTGATAGTATCCCAGCCCTTGTGCTTCCTTCGGATGGCATGGCAGCTACGATGTTGCAGCTGAACGATAGGTTGGCCAGAATGGGACGAAATAACTTAGTCAGAACTACATAATCGGATCAAGTCTCGCCATTTGTGATTTGCGGGTTCTGTTACGCGACGAGTGTTTACCCGTCGATGTTCACACTCCCCTGCTCCGGTTACAACTACTTTTGTGCTGACGGTTACCAACTAATTTAGGGTGCCTCTTAAAATAATGATGATAAGAATAATTATTCAGCTGTACCACCCTTTGGGTGCCTAGCTGGCATGCCATCCGAAGGAAGCACAAGGGCTGGGATACTGTGAGGTTGCCGAAGTCTAGACAGGGGAAGTCGAGATACGGAGGTCGGGTTCGAACCACGGACCTTTTGGTCAGCAAATTCACGCCATAACCGCCACCGTGTTATGTACAGTCATGACCGCTTCCCCTCTGTCAAGACATTTTTCAACATAGAGGACGTTATCATCATTGGAACACACGTCCCTAAAGGACGCAGTAATTCGTGTAAACATCTGAAAGCTGTGGCCTCATTTCGACTCCTGTCAGCTATTCATTCAGGCTATGATTAGAGAAGGCGAAACTCTTATTGCTGAGTCACTTTGCCCATGTTACTGATGGAATCTTGTCTTACCCACTTGTACTAGTTTTTTATCATTTGTGGACGACACTGTGTACGTAAATAACTCGATCCCTTCAAGACACTATTCTGCTTGGTCTGTGGTTCAGGTCGCCTGTTTCAACTATCAGTGCCCTTGCCTTGTGTTCTCGGTTACATACCAGGCAGCAACGAAGAGATAAGCTCAGCATCAAAGCTTCAGCGTGTAACTAAGATTAACTGCTGCTGTGAGTAAACCTCTTGATGCGAAGAACTATCAGCTGTTGACCCGTTGTCACATACCTATTGGCGTTTCTGCATTCATGCAGCTTCAGTCGCTTAGGGGGGACCGTGACCTGTTACTCAGAACTGATGTACGACTAGCATCCGTTCCGTGGGCTGTGAACTTAAACGGACACTTCGGTAACGCCTGTTCGTTGTGCTACTTTAAGCGCTGAGACATTGTGCTCTATTGGGAATTCTGAGGCAACGCGCCGTAGAGATAGCCTACCGTTTGCCTAACTCTACTTGTCTTTCCGCTTGGTTTTCGTCGCATGATTGTTACCACGTTTTGGCTTCCCAAAATGTTGTCGATTCACTTCTTTTTCTTACTGTGTAGACGTGGGCACCAGAAATCACCGGCGCGTTTGTGCTGTCTACTACAACAAATTTTCCGGGTTTGAGGTGATTCATGGACTCTTGGACCGTCTAATGCAGCTGTTATCAGTGCGGTGGAGCGCGAACCAACAGCCCACTGGTGATTCAGCCAATCGAACACTGACCTACCACCTTGAAACCACTGAAGGTAAGGTCATCTTCGTATTGTTGTTGGTTATGTCACCAGGCTTCTGCAATTAAGTACAGGACGGTATGCCTTCCTCTCAACTTACCGGAGCAAATGCGTCATCCACCTAGTCTTTCTGTATTGTAGAATGTTTTAAACCACTTTCCGTGCAGTTCTTCGTCATATCACCTAACTCTAGGGTGAGGAGATGCCAGACTCAGACAATAATCAAAATAGTTCGTGCTTCAATCGTATCCCAAACGTATCACTGATGTTATTGCTAATGTTAACCGCGTTGTGTTTCGTGTCGGACGTCGGCAGTCCAGCACAAGATGGAAGGCCGAAAGTTCACAAACCCCAAAAGTTCGATTTTTGAACATGAGATCAATGGGTCAACTGATTTGCGAAGGCAGGTGCAACAGAAGAACAAAGTATGACTATGTTTTATGGGCTACTAGCAACGATGTCAAAAGGATTACTAGTTCTAAATAGTAGTATCCCCAACCTGTTTGTCATCTTTCCTTCTGTGAGAGCCATCGTTCTCGAGTTTTGGTGGTCCAATTTTTGTGGTATTTCTATCACGGCTTTCTGAATTCCGACACTTGTCAAAGTTGACTATGTCTGATCATCAAAGACTGTAACGCTAATGGCACCAGCGGTAGAGCTGTTTACAGGTTAAACTTGGGACTTAGGTGTTACTCACTTCCTGCATTTGTTCAGGTTGGTGCATGTTCCTATCCCGGTAATTCACGACATCAGTCAAGATACCAACGGGGGCAGGTACCTTTATCGTCAATTCTCCACAGAAAATTCAAAAAGCAGCATATTTCGTTGATGAGTTCCTTACAGTCATTGGGGTGGAGATTAACCATATATGGTTTGCTGTGTATTGTTGTGTCACTATTTACCAAAGCGCGCTTTACGTGGATGCGGTGACCTTCATGCAGTTGTATTTTAGAATAGGGTTTGACCACTCTATTTTGGTTTGGTTGCTTTACCCTGTCTAGGCTTGGGCCACCTGGCAGTATCCCAGCCCTCGTGGAACCTTCGGGTGGCATGACAATTAGGCACCTGAAGGGTGCTACAGTTGATCATTTTCTTTCTTCTTTGGTTGCTTTACGATTTATGATTGGTTGTCCTCTCTGAGTGTGCTGTATTGTATCACTCCATGCCGCTCTGATGCCGTTGTTGACGGAGCCCATTGAGTAACAGCACTCGGAAACTGAACTTCCGTTCAAACACTTGGTTGCCTATTTGATGTATATGCTAGTTTATTGGTGAGTGTTTGTAGCGAAGATCTACTGCGCGCACTAGACATGGTTTAGGCGTTTCAATCAGACCTAACATCAGCTGTTTGCTGCCAACGGCCTTCATTGACTTTACATCGGGGTGACTTTCTCTCATTCACTCTCACCGTTTATCTCACTTCTCTTGTTTCGATCTTTCAAGATCCAACCTACTTCAGTGGTCGATGCGCAGATGTCGTTCTGTCTCCGGGACATCACGTGGTCGGGCGCTTGGGCGTGCTCCACCCGGACGTGTTGCGTAACTTTGACCTGACAATGCCTTGTTCCGCGTTGGATCTGGACCTGGAAGTGTTTCTATGATCAAATTTGATTTATTGATGTGGCTTTTCTTGTGGACTTGGAAATGAATATCATTTTGCGAACACAGTCTTTTAGTTTACGGCAAAGAAAACAACCCACCACCAGCAGCGTGTGGAAGTAAAATAAAACTATTCTGAATATTGCAAACACAACTGTGGCCGCAGTTCTTCGGCAGGAGAAGTCAAGCCACTAGTATGACGTTCGTCTCCGTCGTGAAGACCCTGTCCAGGCGCACAAAGTCTCTCCTACCGGTTTAGTCAATGCACAGAATTCTGATAAACCTAGTCTTTTGGCTCTCCAAGTTGAGGTTGGAACAACTGCGCCACCTTATCCCTCGAAATTTCGACACTCGGGTAGTCTCACGCCAACCACTGCTGCCTTGCGATCAGACCATTGAGCCGATGTCTTTGATTCTGAACCTTATTCATTGTTCTGGCAGTATCCAAGCCCGCATGGAACCGTGAATTGCACCTTCACAAATGGCTTTATATTAAACCAGCCGTCATGTGGTCATCTTACTTCACATTGTCGGGTGAATGGGCGAAAACTTCCGACGCCTTCCATTTTCCTCCATTGACACTCCTTAACTCCCGTCCCACTTAGCAATCAATCCGAATATCTAAGCTATATGCGCGTCAGTGATATGCCCTTGGAATCGACAAGTTGTGCGCTGAATCCAAGCACAGTTGTTCGGTTCACAACAAACTCACTGTCTAGAGCCCACAGAGCACCAACATCGAGTGATGCTCCAGCTAATTGCACCGAGTCCATTCTTCATTACCCGACTGGATACCTGTGATGAGCTCATTCTGTACAGTTCTACTATCTACTTTAGTAAAAAAAAATAAACTATTTTAGGAGAATGTTTCCGGCTCAGATTGTACTCATGGGTTTTGTTCCGTTTGCCGACTCTGGCAATTTCACTTCAAACGTTTCGTCGTCAACCGAGATGGCCTCACGAGTTAGTAGTAAGTTAGCTGTGCGCCGATATGTGGGAGCCGTACTGAACATTGCCTTGCCCACCCAACTGCGCACTGACTAGTAGTAAGTTAGCTGTGCGCCGATATGTGGGAGCCGTACTGAACATTGCTTTGCCCACCCAACTGCGCACTGACGATGTCTTTTCGTATGGTGATGAAACGTTTGCAAGTCAGTTGCCAAGCTCGGTGAACAGACCAACAATCAACCATTGCCGTTCCCGTTTATGCACCAACGAAGTGTAGCTCTAGTTCACTGAGAGACAGCTGTCGAGAACTGACCGCTGTCTTGTGTACCACAAGGAGCTTGGAACCGGTTACAGTAGCAGTAGGCCCAGTTTATCTGAAGCACATTTTGGTGCTATGTTTGGCCTGACCGCAAAATGATGAACATCTTTCACAACTTATCATTTGTTTCTCAGTAGTACTGGGTTTGGACACATTAGGCGCCGTTGTGCTATCTGGTGTCCTCCTACCACTGAGCAGCCTTGGAGTCAAAATGGGCACTCCGCTATCAGCTACCGTTGGTACCGTTCGTCCATGAATGTCAATCGAAATCACATCTAGAGAGGGATGAATTGATTTAGATTATGCCGACATCCTCGTTTTGTTGTTTGACGATTACCTGTCCACGCAAATTCCATAGTCAGGTTATCAGAGGTGATCCCATGTTTCGGCATGCGTTTAGCGCCTTCAGAATTCAAGATTACCCATCCCTTTGTGCTTCTTTGAGACTTCGGAATGAAGGGTTGTGTTAGCCGGTTCATTTATCTTGGCAAACACACAAGCCTTGATCCTACGGTAGTAGATAATGTTAATGAGCGGATAACCAAGGCGTGAGTAGCACTCGCTAATTTGCATCGTTCATGGCACCAGAACTGAATTTTGTCGGGGCTTAAGAAGCGGTTGTGAGATTCGATCCGAAAACATTTGATTACCGGTGTGTCGGCAGCATAACAAGAGTTAGTTGGCTGCAGCAAGCACTCAATAAATTGGTGTGTAAACGAATCCTTAGGATGGCAGGTTAAACCTGCCAGGTGAATTTGGCCGGAATATGGATGACGTCTAAGTTGTGGGTGATTGAGTACACGTTCACATTACTATCGTCTGTGACACTGTTATGTTACTGGGTCATCGAATGTTTGCGCTAGGAATTATGCTACCCGTGCCCAACAGTCTACCCCTGGAGTTTTCTGTACCAAGCTGTTGGTGAATGGTATGCCGAAGACGGGACATGATACGGCAAATCGAAATGAAATCGGCTGCAATCGCACTGCGTTATTGGGGTTTTGGGTTCATGGGAGTGGCTGGAAACCCTGCAAGATGTGGTGCGCCACCGATCCCAGTGGCGTGCATGCTGTTCTTTCGTAAGTGGAAAGTCTACTTAAGGTTCGTTTGTCGTTATGCCCTGGGTTTGTGCAGAATGAGCTGGTCCTTTAATTAGGCTTAATGCTCAAAAGTGTTTTTTCTTCAGATGGTCTTTGTACAAGCACAACCAGAGCAGAACGTGCGCTCACATCAACCTCGTTTGAACCAGAATCGTTTTGTCTGCTGCGTGCATAATCACCAAAAGCACCATATCATTGAAGCGTAAAAGGTCTTTCAGGTTCTGGTGCTATTGAAAACGATGTGAACGAATAATATTGACTGGGACAGCCTTTGAGTACATGTTCTGACAAGCAGAGAATGTGAACGCTACACAATGAGAGGATGTTATCCCTATTCCACATACTAGACGCACATATGTTACTACCACTGAGTATGCGGCCATATCCATGGTTGAGTGACTGATTGGTGTTGTAAGCCTTGAGAGACGACCCTCATTTTTATCTACTGCCCTGCCCGTCGGGATTCCCTAGTCAGATAGAGCCACGGAAGCGTGTGTAACTACTTACAAGTAGTTGAAAGACTTGGAATTTTTATCCTCATCGCTTCTGTTGGAAAAGTCATCTTTCCAGATGGTTCGCATTGAGAAGGGGGTCCACGATTATTCTCTTTGGATAGATTCTGAGATGCGCAACACGAACATGAAACAAGACACTAGAGACGTGCCTGTATTTGCACAACAGATGTGACAACACAATTGGCGTTAAACTGTTAGCCAAAACACCGGACTATTCTTTCAACTGCAATATTTCTTTCGTCTTATCCCAAAGCCAAGTGCGCTCCAGCTGTGTTAAGGCCAAGCGATCAGGAAATCCTCTGTCGTACCGATCGTAATACCCGCCGGGGATGAGTCTCCGTCGAAGTAGTGCGTGGATCACCTGCTGAGCGGCTTCCCAAGGTGAAATGCGTTGCGGCATAGTCAAGGCCGTGTACATTTTCTGAAAGAGGTCACAGTAAAATTCTAGATGAAGCAGGGTAGTGTGAGATAACCTCCATGAACGGTTCTCTATATTA